GTTGGGGTCGCATTTGGTTCAAAGTCAATTATTCGGGGATCTAACTTATCAAGATGGTGTCCTTGTTCAGGGACCTCTTCCATGTCGACGTCTTCCTCTTGTTCAGAGGTATGCCCTTGTTCAGGGGCGTCGAGCATTTCCACGTTCGTACTGACTTCAGCGGGTACCTCAGGATTACATTAATAGTTCAGGGCTTGGACTTTCGCAGCGAGTTTAAGTAGCATGCCCTGGAGCCCATATGATCGCCTCGGACCGTAGCAATCCCATGTTCGGTTGGAAATTTCATGCACAAGTAGTGGATGGACGTGACAGCCCAAAGATCTTTCAAAGCGGGTCTGCCCAATACTCCATGATAAGTCGATCTGTGATCTACCACCAAAAATTTCATGAAGTGCTGGGCCACTAGAGGTGCCGAACCCATCTCGACAGGCAAAGTGATCCGCCCTCGTGGGATGATGCTGTCCCCGGTGAATTCGAATAGTGGGCCGATCATGGGGATCAACACATGTTTAATTTGCATTTTGTCAGAAGTGGAGTAGAACAATATGTTCACGTAACTGACATTGTCAACGAGCATGTGTTTTAACCCGTTTCTAGCCACTACGGCTCTTACAACCAATGCATCATAATGGGGGTGGTGAACCCCATTTGAGTCCTCCTGGGAGAAGGTGATTGGGGCCATCCTATTTGCTGCGTGCGACTCGTCGACAATGTAAGTGATCATTGGTGGGTCCTTTGCTTTCCTTGTGTAATTTCTCTGGGCATTCCTGGTGTTGCCACCGATGTGGGGTCCCCCAATGATAGTGTCGGTCTCCTTGATGACCTGGCTCCCAGAAAATTGGGCTTGGTTTCCCTGTCTTGATTGACCCCAGTCCTTTGATTCCCTTCTCCGAGGCGATTGTTCCCTGTGCCCTCTATCTCCCCTCCTCGGGAAGGCGGATCTGCGGGGATATTTGTTCCTGCTGGAAGGGTGTGGGTTGCTTCGATCAGGGCGTTGATTGACGTCTCGGCATTCACTAGTGTCATGTCCATAGAGTTGATGGAACGTACAAAACCTTGTCCCTTCCAAGGGTCTGTTTGACCTCTTCTTCTTGTTATTAGCTCTTCCAGACGGTCCCACTTCGGTAGCGGTATTCTCATATGCCAACGCCGGTACTGCATTCAATGTGGCGGAAGCTAGGGCCTGTCTGGATGTGGGAGCTATTGTATGACCTGCTTGGGTCCATTGCTGAGTAACAAGGTGCGCTACGGGTCCTCGACCTACCTGCCTCTGAGGCGGAGGGAGTCCCTGCGCAGCACGATTGCGATGATCAATCATTTCTTCACTAACAATTTCCACTCTCATCATCTCCACCAGCTCGTCATATGTGGAGGGATTCTTGCTGCGCACGTCCCTCCCGAACAGAGTGTTCATGTTGAGCCCACCTTTTAGGGCTGAAAGGGCTTCTCTGTCAGTGACCTGTTCACAATAGGTGATTTCGTCTGTAAACCTGGCGAGATAGCTTTTCAACGTCTCCACAGGGGCCTACCTCATATCTTGCAGGCGTTACACTGGTGCCTCTTCTTCCCTGCGTGAGAGGTACTGGTTCAAAAATGCTTTCTTCAAATCCGGCCAACTTCTGATGCTTAGGAGAAGAAGCCTGTTGTACCATACTTGGTGGCCCCGCCTAGCATTAAATGGAAGGCTCTGCATTTCAAAGCAGGCGAGGCTCTCCTAAGGCTCATCTGTGTCGTATACTTGGTGAGGTGCTTCTCCTGGTCCCCATTTCCTTCATACTTGGGGATCTTAGGGGGCGTGAGATTTTCTGGCATTGGAAAGTTTCGAATCTCCCTTGAGAAATGGAGGATATCATCATCGTCGTCGATCTCATAAGATCGACAGGACCCATCTGACCCTTTATCATCTTGAATGTTCTGGGGAGGTGGAGGTGCTTCTCCTCGACTTCCCCAGTCGACTAGGTTCCTCCTGTCTCTCTTATTTCTAGGAGGAGGGGGAGCATATTCTTGTTCGTGATCTAGACGAACTGATCCTCTTACTGGGTGGACCCTATTGCTAGGACCCTCCCTTATCCGGTCGAAGATGCATACCGACCTCTAGTCGTCATGTTCTTGAGGGAAATTGTCCCCCCAAGTGTGGTTCTGATGGCTGGCTCCCTTGCACATAAGATATGGCTTCGGCGTTCATCTCCCTTTCGAGGGGACGTTCTGTGTGCCAGCTCATGTGGCATCGGGAGTGAGATACAAGAGCTTTCCGCACCGGGTAAGATCCTTGGGGCATTTAATAGCCCTGATGACCCTGGGCTTGCATAAGGAGTTCATGCATTGCCATATTCTGAGCTGCGATGTCTCTCATACCCGCAGCTATCTGAGCCATTCCTTCAGTGAGTATGGCTGTTCTTCCACCTCGGCGACGCCGGTGATGTGGTCTCTGATGAGTAACATTGTTATGGAATACCTTTTCTTCAGAGGCCTCTTTCATGGGGTTGTCGTCTTCATAGTTATAGCTCATCTACTTCCTTTTGCAAGGGTGGTGAGAACTTGAATTGTAACTCGACTTTGTTCTTTTTCAAGAACGTCCCCTTTTCAGAGTTAGTCGCTAGTTTTTCGGTAACTTCTCCGATGGAAAATGCAGAACTTCAAACGGGAAGTTTTTCCCACAGACGGCACCAATCTGTTGACCTTGAAAATTGGTCCTTCCATGTGGCCAACTGAGGGCTACTCCACGTATTCCTCCCTGTGCACAATCAGCGAACAGTGAGACGCACACGGCCTGGACCATCGAGGGTGGTGGCGACCGTATACACTCTGACGGTCAAGCAAGGTTTAGGTGGTCGGAACAGTACTTAGGGGTTGTGCAAAATAATGATAAGGGGGAGGAGAAATATATATAAGCTTGCTATGGAGTGTTATATAATAAGGGTTTCATTACTCTTGCCTCTTGCCAAACCTTGGGTATTTATAGGTGGGATGAGCCGTTGGATGTGAGACACGTGTATACATCTGACGGTATGAGGCATCCGCTCATAGGCGTCAATCAGCCGCATCTGTAGAGTGGGCGGACAGCTTGTTTCTCCTAAATTGAATTGACGTAAAACTGATAAGTCATATCAACTAGCCTCATGGAGACGTCAAATCAATCTAAACCTTAGGTGCAGGAAGGATCTTGACCCAAATCTCTTTCTGAAATTGACGACGGATTTTCTAACCGGGGTCCACTTGGCCTCGGCCTTGGGGGCGAGGTGCTTCGGTCAGGTCAGTAGTAGGGATCGCCTGTACTTCGCAGCGTGCTACTAGGTTGCAGACATTGCTGATATCACTTTGAAAACACTTCGGACGGGTCTTTATCAAGTCGAAATATATGGTGGTGAAAATTCCGAGGCGTATCAGATAGGGGCGTAACACACTTTAAATTTTTTGTCACTGAAACTTAAGGAATACTTGTCTCAACATGTGCCCCATATTGAGGAATTGATAGTTTGACATTTTAACATAATTCTTTATTTTCATTCACTTTTTATCTCATTCTTAAACGTCTGTATAAATCAATGAACAAGGGACTCGTAAGTATAATGAACTAGTTAACTCCACCCATATACATAAAGAGTCAAAAGATCTATTGAATTAGCAAGTATCTAGTCCAAATGAGAAAATTCATCTAATCCACAACCTGCTTCCATTTGATACACATAGAGCCCAGTCGCTATAAAATATCTATCAAGATTGATCTCCTAAGCACCTAGGTGACATGATACACTACAACAGGTGATAGGAGATAATGGTAGGTTACAAAACTGATTACACCACCTATTGTAGTATGCTACGTCACCTATTGCTTAGCATAAGCTAAGCACCAATCCTTGGGAAATTAATTCCACACACATATATACATGTTTATTTTCCAGAAACCCTTCTTCCTACTTTTATTTATGTTTCTTTTATAAAAACCCTTCTAGCAAGGCAAAGTCAAAACACTTTCAAACAATTATTCAAACATGTTCAAAAGCAATGTCTTAAAAACAATATTTGACTTTTTAAAAGCCTTGCCAAACGAACCCATAATGATGTGTGTACGACATCAAAATTGAATATCACAGCCAAATATGAAGCAATTTGAGAACATAAGAAATACTAACAACGCATAGGTAATTTATAGCAATAATATTAATCAATTACATATAAAGTCTAAGAAGTAATTATAAATCATGTAAATTTATCCATAACACGCAATAAACGAAGGAAAATCACAAAACAACAACACTAGCATTACTTATCCACCTCTCTGACCTATTGAAACTTTAGATCAAACAGTTGGTATGCGTTCAAGCAAAGACCCGGTACCAACGGTGCTGCAAAAAACCTTGACCGATCATTAACAAAGCCAAACCAGGCTCAGTGGCATCTGGCATGGTCCACTGTCCCAGTTCATGTTCAAACATCCCCTGCACCCTTCTCTTCATCAGACCCAAAAACACACCCATAAACGATATATATGCAAAATTAGCTTTATAACACGGAAAAACAGTGGAAGTTGTACTGTCCTTATGACGACGTTAGGGGGGGCGTAGGAGAGAAGTTAAAGGTAAACAAGGTCGGAGCACAAGGCAAAAAGTAGTACGAGGAAGAAAAAGACGATGGCAAAACGGAAGAGAATTAGAACAAAAATGAAGAGTATGAGGTAGTAGAAAAAGAGGAAGGGAGAATCATTATCTACCACATAGACTAGCATTGTTTCTAGGAATGTGAATTTTGTTGGGTGTCCGTTTCTGCAATTGCTCTACAGGATTGTTGGTGAAAAAATGGAGATTCAACGCCATTAATGTCGTTTTCACCTTTTCGTGAGAATCTTGATTATGAGAAAATCTGGTTAAAAGAAGACACAAGAAATGGTCTCCAATAATTGATAGATAGAGCATTCCACATTTGATGCATGTTTGGCCAAGATTCAAAAGTTCACTTTTAAGTAAATTTTTCACCAAGCACTTTTTGTCATACCACAAAAGTTTTCACTGAACTTATCAAAATCACAAAATTTTCTCTAGCTCCTCAAAAGAATAATTGATTCAATTAATCCAGCGAGGAATGTTTATACAACACAAAATAAGGCAGCTGATATCTTCAGCTCAATATAAGATAGATAGATTAAAAATAAAAAAAATCATTCGACATTGATTTTACTTCCCCTTCTTTGAAGATCCTCCCTTCGATGTTTTCTTGAAAGATTTCTTGTTCGACTTCATCTTGCCAGGGGTCGATGACCTTCCCCCATCTTTATTTCTTCGTTTCTTTTCTTTCTTCACATTGTACATGTTCACAGCCTAAAACCCAAACAAAACCAATCCCGAAAAAATGAAGCGTGCAATTTGCTTCCAAATTATGGAAATAAAATGAAGTAAGAGCTTTTAGGACATCTAAAAGCACTAGTAAAGAGAATTAACCTTTTCAACATTTAGCACTTCGTGAGAATTTTTGGAGATCAACTTATTCAACACTTTCTCAGTTTGCTGTTTTTCAAGTGCACCCATTCCCGATCCTTCTACAGCTGGTAGGAACTGGGGGAAGATAAATAGAATTTGTATTCATGCTTACAGTTAGTACAGTCTTCACACTGCATCCCGACCTGAGCATGCTTATAATCACAATGTAAAAAATTCTTAATGAGTTCATGTATTGCACAAACCTTCCTGTATTTCTTTTCATGCTTTGGGGGCTTCTCTCCGGGCAATTTCTTGTCAAATTTTCCACCACTAGCTGTCGCAGTCGACACCATTCCAGCAAAGTTTTGTAATTCGTCCTTGCCAACCTTTCTAGGCATTGCTTGGGTTCCTGTAATAGGTAATGCAGTGGCAGCAAGCTGAACATGGCTGCAAACCAGAAACTAAATCAGATCATGCGTTGCAGTATAATTAAACTATTTGGTCAGGACAGTATTTTCTAACAAGTTATAACCAATACACTGAATGCAGGCAAATGATTCATGAACATATGAATAGCATTGGAAGTTTATACATTACATCATTAGTAGAACGAAAAGCAGAAGTGATATGGACTTGCTAGGACGGAAAATATGAAGGAACAATTTTCATCAAATTTGCAGACACTAGTGAAAAAGAAGTCAT